TATATATATATATATATATATATATATATATATTAACAATATAATATATTACATCATTAACAATATAAATAAATAAAATAAATAAATTTATAATATAAAAAATCAAATTATCATTATTGTTGACATTTTTGTTACACTTAAACATTTTACATTTTTTATTTATACAAAATTAAGATAAAAAAAATATAGAAACTCTAGTAATCGCATCTTCGTTTATTATTTTTCTTCATTTTCATGATTTATTATTTAAAATACCTCAAATAGGACATAGAAAATATTTAGAAATTTTTTTTTTTGGATAAGATTATTTTCTTTTATTATAGCTTATACGTGAATGGACATAAGTATGCATGGATTGTTTCTCAATTATTTTTTATATTATTTTAAACTCTAAATTTTAATAATAATTAAGTAAACCATTTTTTTATCATAAAAATCAAAACAAAAACTCACACATGTATTTAAAAATATAATTGTTAACTTATTTAAAATTAAATTTATTGACATATTTAAAATTGTTAATACAAAATAAATTTTTACATAAATTAATAAACACCCAAATACAAGCTCATTACTCCTTCCATTCTCTCTGATCGTTTGAGGGTACTCTTCTATTATCTTTTTATTTTTTATTTTTTTTATTTTTTATTTTTTTATTACGGTGAAGGATTGAATGAGAGCGTTTGTGTTGGTGGTATTTTGATACATGTTATGTATTTTGTGGTTGTTTAAATTAACATGCAAATGATAAGAGGTTTATTGGGAGTGAAGAGTCAGTTACAGTTGTTACTTAATTGATAGTCTTCTATTATGAGATCTGCATTCCTAGATGTGATTGTCTAGAGCATATGTTTGCTATTCTTATGTTTTTAATTGGGATTATTTTGACTGATAGGCAGAGATCCAACTTCAATTGTTGCGAACTTGTAACTTTGTACATTTTGTGTGCCATTTAAATCACATTACAAACATTAATCCTATGATTTATGATTTATTGATAGTTGTACTTCCTATCTAGTATCTGCCTGCTGCCATTTGGAGAATAATTCTGGGAAATTGTTTTATGTTAGTTGTTAAATATTTGACAGTCTTCTTGGTTCATGGGTGTGCCTACATTTTCTTGAATGGCCCTTTTGACTTTATTCAAGATTTGCCATCTATTGTTTTTATCTGCTAATAGTAATTTTCATATAGCAACTTTTGAGATGTGGTACTGATTTACTAATCAGTAAAGGTTGACCTCTTTATCTAGTTAGGCTGGCCTTATGTCCAAAACAAATATGTTTGTTATAACTTTATTTTGCAATATACAAATGGAGTAGTGCTTCACAGCATCAGCAATGGCAACTGAGCAAGTCCTTCACATGAATGGAGGTGTGGGAGAAACAAGCTATGCAAACAACTCCACATTTCAAGTTCGTATTCTCAGCTTCCCCATATATACCAATTTAACTTGATTTCTATAATCTGCAAGCATGCCTTGCTAAAACTAAAAGCATTTTGATCATTGTTCATTTTTAATTTAATTATTGATTTCACATGCATGCAGAGAAAAGTGATGTTGATCACCAAACACATCCTTGAAGATAGCATAATGAGGCTGTACTGCTCCACTCTTCCAAACTGTTTGAAAGTGGCTGATTTGGGTTGCTCATCAGGTCCAAATGCACTGCTAGTCGCATCTAACGTCATCAACGTTGTTCATCCTTTGAGTCAAACCTTGAATCGTGACCCACCCATGTTTCAGTTTTTCCTCAATGACCTATTTGGAAACGATTTCAATACCATCTTTAAGTCACTTCCCGAATTTTACAAGAGAATGCAAGAAGAGAAGGGAGACAATTTTGGTCCATGTTTCTTTAGTGGAACACCTGGATCATTCTATGGGAGGCTATTTCCCAATGATTCCATTCATTTCTTTCATTCCTCCTATAGTCTACATTGGCTTTCTAAGGTACAATATTTACTAATTAAACTTATTATGTTTCTTTAACCAAAGTATACATAATAGCATGCATGGTGGCAAAATCATAACTTTGGAATTTAACTTCAATTCATTTCCATTTTGATACGACAGATTCCAGATGAGTTGACAGAGGGTGCAGAACCAATAAACAAAGGGGCCATTTATCTAACAAGGGCAAGCCCTCCAGCAGTGCACAAAGCATACTTTGCACAGTTTCAAGAAGACTTCAAATTCTTCTTGAGATCACGTTCCAGTGAAATTCTTCCTGGTGGTGCTATGGTCCTAACATTCATTGGCAGAGATGAACACAATGAACTAATAAATGCTTGGGTTGTCATTGGTATGGCACTTAATGACATGGCTGCAGAGGTACATAGAGTTTGTAGCTTTTCACTTTGTTAATTGATTACCTATAAGTATATAAATGATGTTTATGTTTATGTGTAACTTGGTGCAGAAATTGATAGAGCAGAAAAAATTGGACTCGTTTAACATACCATCATATTGTCCTACGGCTGAGGAGATTAGAGAAATAATTGAGGAAGAAGGGTCTTTTGATATTCAGAGATTGGAAACAATCAGAACGGATTGGGTGAAGAACATCAATGTGAGTGATGATGAGTCTCTTATTGATGAAAAGGCAGTAGCAAAGGACATAAGGGCTGTTGCTGAACCAATTTTGAAGTCAGAGTTTGGGGAAGAAATCATGGATAAATTGTTCTGCAGGTTCAAGAACTATATTGTCCAACTTTATGGTGTGGAGAAATTGGAGCTCCCTAATCTAGTCATGCACATCACCAAGAGTAATTGAAGATGAAGTCTTCATGAATATATAAGATATTCAAAAAAGATATATGATGACGTGAAATCTTAGCTATAACTAATGTGGCGGTTAGTTATAATTAAAACGTTCATATTGATAATAGAATAATAGAAATCTGTTTTATTTTGTTATTTTCATTTTGCATAGAACCATGCATTTACTCTTTTGTAAATAAGTTGTTGCTGATCAATAATATCATAAGGTTCGATTCGTATCTTTCTTTCTCTCTGCGTGTATTTTTCTTTCTCTTTTCAAATACCATGAGTTTGGATCTTATTATGATATCAAAGCTCTTTTTTTTGAAAGGTTCTACTGCACATATCTCTAATCATCGTTTTCCCCTTCTTTTAAAATGAGTGTCATTGATGAGATATCGAGTATGGTCCCTGTTATTTACAACTGAGTGAAAGTCCTACCATTGCTTTTGTTTCACCAGTCTTGGATCCATCAAATTACAATTCATGGAGTAGATTAATGATGACACCTTTAAGCGCTAAAAACAAACTTCAGTTTGTTAATGGAACACGCAAAGAACCTTCACACACTGATTCTCTTCACATTGCATAGAGAAGATGCAATAATATGGTTGTTTCTTGGATTGTTCATTTTGTTTCAATTTCGATAAGGCAGAGTATCCTATGGATAGATAAAACTGTTGACATTTGAAAAGATTTGAAGTCATGTTATTCACATGGAGACTTGTTATGCATCTCCAACTTACGGCAGGGGGCGTCATCCATCAAGCAAGGGGATATTACTATCATTGATTTCTTCACAAAATTATAGTTTGGGATGAACTAGGAGGCTTTCGGCCCAATCCACTAGGCCAAAAGTTATAGCTGATAGTCAGGGCGCAACTCTTTCTATTTAAGGGCATAGCAGCCCAAGCACTATGATTCGACAGTGACTTGGCCCACTTAGCCTATTTAAGGGCATAGCAGCCCAAGCACTATGATTCGACAGTGACTTGGCCCACCTAGCCTCCGCCACAAGACAATTGATGCAACAGCAATTGCCCCGCTGGGTATCGAACTCATGACCTTGGCTCTGATACCAATTGTTAATACTCGAAGAGTATTTACTGATGCAATTCAAATATTCGTGAAAAACTGCATGTGTTATTCAGATACTGGAGATGGCATTTATAAGCTTTTACAAAGAAACTGAAAGGAAAAGAAACTGAAAGGAAACTGACTAACAACCTACGTGAATATTGGACGAAAGAATAGCACCCATTCCTAGAAATCAGGGCGCAGTTATTTAACAAATACTAAAACATAAAAATAGTTAACACTCACCACAATGTTCTTGTAATGCACTTTCTAGTATTTTGGAGAGAAAAATGCAAGATCAAGTTATGCAATTCCTACATGGTCTTAATGATCAATATAGTTACGTTAAATTTAACATTCTCACGATGGATCCCTTGCCACCGATTTTGAAGGTGTTTTACTATGTTGTGCAACAAGAGCGACAAATCCTTAGTAATGGTGGTATTCTTGTCAATTTGAATCTTGAATAAAAGGCACATTAACTAATGCAGCCAATTCCATTTATTCCTCCACCTACAAATTTTGTGACAGATTTGGTCATACAAAGAGCGTTTGTTACAAGAAGCATAGTATTCCTTCCAATGAACCTGCAAACAAGGCAACATATATCGTGGTATCAAATCTTGCACTCATTATGAAAAAACTGGCCATACTATAGATGTGTGTTACAGGAAGCATGATTTTCCTCCTCATCATAAATTCCATAATAGCAACACAAATGCCAATGGTAATAGCTTAGTGATGGATATTGCAAATGTCACTGAAAAATCTAATAATCAACAACACGAATGTCATGTTCTACGCTTCACCTTTTAGCAACATCAAGCCTTGCTCGCCTTAATACAACAGCCAAGCCATGAAGCCTCTTCTTCATCCACTCCTTGTGTCAATCAAATTGGTATTTTTTATTCTCCAAGTCCTACTAATAGTTCATCTACCGTAGGTAATCCTTTCTCTCTTATTTGTTCCTTTAACTCAGCAAACAATGCACCATATGGATATTAAACTCTAGTGCTACAAACTAAGTATCCTTTTCTTTAGCTTATTTCACTTCCTATTCATCCATTAAAGCAGTCGTAGTTCGCTTACCCAATAGTCAAGAAGTCATAGCTACACATTTGAGTCTTGTTAAATTTTTTGAAGCATTATTTCTTGTTGATGTTCTTTACATACCATCTTTTACGTTCAATCTTATTTCCATTTCCAAACTTGTCTCTTTTTTAAATTACATATTAACTATTTCTTTCAATAAATGTTTGATACATGACATGAACACTAAGATGATGATCGGTACAGTTAATATTGTTGCGAGACTATACAAACTTACAGCCTCACACTCTAGCCTCCCAATATTCCTATCAATGCCAACCTTATTTTTGACCGTACCCACATTATATAGCCTTCATGTCATCGCTTATCTATTGATCTTTGGCATTTTCAATTAGGATATGTTTCTCATGATCCTATACTTCTTATGAAAAACTATTATCCTTCTCTTCTAAGTAACAAAAACTTTATGTGTAATACTAGTTATTATTCTAAACAACGAAAATTTCGTTTCCCTAATAATGATTATCATGTTTTAAGTTCTCTTTGCTTTATTACATGTTGATATTGGGGCCCTTGTGCCAAACTTTCTTTTCATGGTCAAAAATATTTTCTAACCATCATTGAGGATTATTCACATTTTACTTGAGTTTTTGTTATGTCTTCCAAATATGGAACACAACAAATTTTGCAAAACTTCATTACACAAGCTGTAAAACAATTTGAATCTAAAGTCAAAATAATTTGCAAAGACAATGGTACAATGTTTTTCATGCAACAATTCTTTACTTCTAAAGGAATAATTCATTAAACCTATTGCATTAAAACATCACAATAAAATGGTATTGTAGAACGTAAGCACTAACATGTTTTGAATGTTACTCATGTTTTTCTTTTTTAGTCTCATTTATCTTCAAAGTTTTGGTCTTTTACGCTTTTATTTATAATCAATTGTTTACCAACTCTTTTTCTAAAAAATAAAGCACCCTATGAACTTTTACATAAACAAGTTTGTGATATTTCTTCACTTAAAGTTTTTAGTTGTCTTTGTTACATTAGTTATCACTACTTATCATAAAAAGCTTGATCCACACACCCATCCTTGCATTTTTCTTAGATTTAAACCTCAAACTAAAGGTTATCTCACTTATAACCTTCAATCTAGAAATATTGAAGTATCTCGCAATGCTGTGTCTTACAAGACTATTTTCCTTAATATTACATCCCATCTACTCCTACTTCACTCACCAATTCACCTAAATGATATTCCTCTGCCACTGAAGTGAACCCATTAACACATCCCCTACCATTTCTTTACGTCGCTCTCAAAAACCTAAACATAAACCTATTTTTCTGCAAGATTTCCATACTTCTTTTGTATCAACTTGCACCAATCATCATCCAGGTATTCGTTATCCTTTATCTAGTGCTTTGTCTTATGACCAATCGTCACCTTCATACCATAATTTCGTTATGTCCATAAGTTCTGTCAATGAACCAAAGTCATACAAAGAAGCTTCTAAGCACGACTATTGGCTTAAGGTAATGCAAGAGGAAATATCTGCTCTCAAAGCAAATTATACATGGGTTCTTACTTCACTTCCTTTTAATAAGTCCGCAATCAGATGTCGTTGGGTTTACAAAATAAAGCATTGAGCTGATGGGCCTGTGGAATGATATAAGGCCCGCTTGTTGGCTAAGGGGTTTACACAAATGGAGTGCCTCATTACATGAATACTTATTCTCCTATTGCAAAATTGACTGTTGTTAGATTGCTTCTTGCTCTTGCAGCTATCAATGATTGGTATCTTAAACAGCTCGATGTTAACGATGTGTTTCTCCATGGAACACTTGATGAAGAGGTTTACATGCAGCTTCCCCCAGGCATCTTTTCTTCAAAGCCGGGACAAGTTTGTCGTCTTCAACATTGCTGTTACGATTTGAAGCAAGTGAGTTGTCAATTGTATGCTCGTTTGTCCTCATTCCTTATTGTATTTCACATGGTTACAAGCAATCTCAATCAGATCAATCTTTATTCCTTAAATGGTCAAATGCTTCTCGGATCACTATTTTGCTTGTATACGTTGATGACATTGTTCTTTCTAGTAATGACATCTCTATGATTACCTCCATCACATAACTTCTTAATAATACCTACCTTGGTAATTTATGATTTTTTCTAGGATTAGAAGTTGAACGTATCAGAATTGGAATTCATGTTTGCCAACAAAAGTATGCACTTGATATTCTCACTGATACTAGGTTGATTGGTGCTAAACCTGTCAGCACTCTCATTGACTATTGCACTAAGCTTCATAAAGCTTCTGCTGATGTTCTCCCTAATCCCTCCTCATATCGTCGTTTGATTTATCTTACAACTACTCGACTTGACATCTCTTATGCAGTGCAACATCTAAGTCAATTCGTTGATTCTGCTACTTTTGCATCATTCGTATTTCTCTCTCTCTATTTTTTTCTTTTTTTTCAAATACCATGAGTTTGGGTCTTGTTAGGAAATGCTTCTAGAACATACATATTCTGGACAGTACATTATTACATTACCGGTTAAAAGTGATGTAAACATTAACAGGAACTCAAGGAGCTTGGTGTTTTTATGAATTTTAAATTTGATGTATTTAAGAATCAGTAACATTTAAATGTTGCATATCCATTTTTTTTTATATTATTCGTGGGAAGTTTCGACGACAATTTCTCCAAAGTCAATTGGCAGTGTATTTAAAAGATACAAGTCAATGAGTAACAAGCCTGCTAGAGAATCTTTAACGCTCCTTTCTTATATTTAAGGAACCATGCTTATTTTGTTTACTCACAGGTGCTGACTCAATGAAGCTTTGTAGTAATTTATATAAGATAAATAAGTAATTTTTATGGCAAGAACCACCATGAAAGTGAGAGAAAATAGAGACAAATATAGATATTCCACGTAGTTCATACATATACCAACTCTTATTCCACGTACGGACAGGCCTGATTTCGATTTTTTGCGAAATTAATTTTTATGTAAGATTTTATTATTTATCGATTTCCATCTTTTACGAAAACAATTTTTATTTAAAAACAATTGTTTGAAACACCAGTGTGAAATAAAAATAATAAATAGAAAAAAATTGATATTATTTTTATCTTTGGAAGAAAGTGAAAAGAAATGAGAATATAAATTGACTTTTAAAAACAAAAAATTAAGAGTATTTTGACTTGTGTTTTTATTTTTCTATTTTTTAAAATTTTTATTATCTCTTTCACTTTTTAGTTTACAAAATTGTCACACTATTTTCAAATTATTTTTTAGTTTCGAAGATTTGTTCCATGTATAAGTCTTTAAAAACAAGAAACAAATTAAAAATAAAGTGATAAAATTTTAGTTCAAAAAAATTAATAAAATGCTAAACTTATAATTAAAAAAAAGAAGAAAGAAGCTAAACTTATAATTAAAAAAAAAGAAAGAAAGAAAGAAGTAAAACTCATATTCAAATTTCTAATGGCTTAGAAGTGATATTTTACCCACGGAAGACTGAAGCAAAGCATAAATGATGTGGCGTGTGAGCCGCTACTTGCCACACTTATTATTACTTATTATTTAACTAATGAAATTTTAATACTTTATATTTTATTTAATAAAAATATTGATGTTGTGTTTGGTGATTAAATTTTAAAATTTCATATTCAAATTTTATATTATAAAAATAATTAATTTTTTATTATTTAAAAATAAAATCATCTATATATATAATTAAAAGAAAAAAAAATAATGCAAAAGCAAAAAACATGAAAATCTATAGGCAGTGGCCGACAATATATGGTGGCATGTTGAGTTTGTGGCGGTTAATAGCAAAAGATCTCCCTAGTATGGCTTTTGCATTCCGGCAATGATGAGTATGCTTTTCCACCTTTCCAAACGGGACGGTAATGGATTCTGCTTTAAAAAAAAATCTACTAATTTATAAGTTAATTTAATAAAATAAATAAATTTGTTTAGTATGTAAATTTATTTTTTTAAATTAATTGAAGTGATTTATACTTTACCTTAATTATTTTTTTAACTTCATTAATTTACTTAAAAAATATTTCGTGCTCTTTTTATTTTAGAAATTATTTTACTTATATGTTGCACTGTCATTCTCATATTTACTAAATAAATAAATTTTATTTATATTTATTACTTAATTTATCAAATATTTTTAATTTAGTTAATTTATTTATATAAATTTTTAGCTTTTCAACTTTCAACTTATAATAACCCATAAGCTTCTGCCTATTATAAGTAAATTTTAAAACACACCCATAGTTGGTAATAAGTAGGGATGACAAAAAAAAAAAATAGTAGCCGCACATATCCACCTATAAAATCCATTAAAAATAATAAATTGATAATTTAAATAATTTAGTACAAATATTTCTCAATTTATTTGTAAATGGGACAGGATGGGTATGGTAGATTAACATTCGTTAAATAAAATTATTTAAATATTAATATTTTTTTCAAAAAAATAATATTAATTATAAATTCAAAAATTAATATCAATTATTTATTTTTAATACAAATATAAAATTATTTGTATTTTTTTTATTTTTAAAAAATACACAAATTTTCATTGATATTTGTGAATATTTATGAAATTTGTGAATATCTAGTGGCAGCCTTGAACATAGTCAAGATGGGTGATCGTCCAGGGTCTCATTTTTAGAGGGAGATACCAAATTATTTTTAATCTACATAAATATAAAAATAAGTTTATACAATTAAATTATATAAAAAATATATTATAAAAATAAATTAATCACCAACAATTATTTAATTGATATAGGTGATGTTTCTATTTCTCAACAAACATCTATTTACGATTCTGAGAAAAATTATCCATAATTTTAGTAAAATATAATCAATGATGCTAAATATAAAGAGGAAAGTGTGATATATATAATATATATTATTAAATTATTTTTTCCTCTTTATTCTCTTAATTGTAACTTTTTTTACTCTATCAGAATCTCAATCAATTTCTAAACGTCGGTTGTTAGTCATAAAAAGTTTCTTTGTGATGTGATTTCATTGTTAATTTTTTTCCTTCTTCTATTACAACAAGTTGAGAGTTAAGATTTAAAAATAAGTATAATTATTTTACCTTATTGTCATTTACTTATTAAAAGACTTTTTATTTAATTTTTAGATTATAAATTTAATATTACTTTAATTTTAATCAATTTTTAAAAAAAAATCTTGATTATGAATGAATTATTGATAGTTGAGAGCAGTGTTTTAAAACCCGGACCGACCCGGCCGGTCGGACCGGTTGGACCGGGAACCAGTGGTCCAGTCGGTCCGAATATGAAGTTGGATCGGTTATGCAGTCGACCCGTTTCAAACCGGATTGAACCGGTCAATTTTCCGGTTCAACCGGTGAACCGGTGGGTCAAACCGGTTCAACCACTTTTTTTTTTATAATTTTTTTTAATTTTTTAAGGGATCATAAATCACAAAAATAATAATGAAAATTGAATCTCTTAATGAAAAAGCAAGGAATCTTATTAAATATACCGTTTAACATGTAATTTTTTTTATGTATGTTTTTACCTTAAATAACTTTTATAGTATATTATTAATTTTAAATTATATATTTAATAATTCAATATCTATGTAAATATTACATATATTATTTTGTGATATTAATTGCAAGCATATTATATATGTACATATTATTTATATTTTTAATTTGTATTAATATACCGTTTAACATGTAATTTTTTTATGTATTTTTTTACAAAATAAAAATAAAAATAATTTTAAATAAGATAGAAAAATTTAAATTTAAAATAAGATATGAATTTATTAAAATTTATAAGTATAAATATATTTAATATGAATATTTTTTAATAAAAATAAATAAAAATCGAGTCATGCGGTTCAACCAGTGACCCACCGGTTCAACCTTTGACCCACTAACCCAATACCTTAACCGGTTCGATCACCGGTCCGTTTTTAAAACTATGGTTTAGAGTCGACTTTACATATATTCGCGCCAGTATGGAACATGTACAAATCAAAACGGATTTTTATTCAACTAAACAGAAACGGAGGTCTCATTTTCATCCCTAATAATAAGAAGGCATTCACGTTAATTAGGTATCTATTTTTCCTTTGTGCGTGTAACACCGTGTATCGTTATTTCCCCACTAGAAATTAGCAGAACTGAAATACTTAATGAAGAAATGAAAAAAAAAAAAAAAAAAAAAACACTTTGGGTCGGGATCAAGGCATAAGATACGAATTTCAGCCAAAAATTCACGTCTTCTCAAAAATTATAACGCCTACAGCTGTTTCTCTTTGCCCAAAGCAAGAAAATGCCATCTTCGATTCTGGTTATAAATAGAGAAGTTCTATTTTGTGCATGACATACTCTTACCATACGCAAGTTCTTTGAGAATCAGATTACGCATTGTATTACCAAAATTAATATGAAAACTCAAACTAATAAATGCAATATATTTTAGGATGAAAACATTAATTTACTTTAAGATCTACTTAATTACATGTTATGTATACATATGCATCGCATGAGATTGTTTGTTTGTTTATTAAAATAACCGAAGCAATGACATGGGAGGGGTATATATGGTTCCACTCAATATACCAATACAAATACTCCTATGGTCATAGCAAGCAATTAATTAATTAGAGAGTTTCTTGTGTACGTAGCTTCTGTTGGCGAGCAATGAAAGCCTCAACCTTACGACGAAACTCGTCGTTGCTCATGCGATCTTCAGGGTACGAATTAGTAGAATTAGCCACTCCCACTTTCTCAGTCTCACACCTCTGCAACACGCGCCGAGCCTTCTCGTCCTGCACGCGCTTCACAATCTCCGATTCACACCTTCTGTAATGACCCTTTACACCACTTGCCTTTAGTGGGCGATTCTCGACATGGGGTTCAAGTTTCTGGTTCTGATTCATGGTGCTGTTGTGGAGAAACTCGAGATAAAGATCGGGCTCTGGGGTAGGTTTTGTTGCCGAAGAGTGATTCGAAAACTGGCCCGACTGCGCGAACAACGTTATGATTATGACGTTTCCGAGGAAAAACACAAAACGAGGACTTCCCATGAAGTTGCGGAAATAGTCGCTTGAGGTTTTGAGCGTGGTTGGAAGGTTGATGGAGAGCCTCGAAACCAAGACCAGAACCACGCACACCTCTGCGTAGCGCAACAGGTTCGCGATCTTTCGGAGCTGGCGATGATGTTTCTGAGGTTTCGTGGTTTTCTTTGTTTGGAGCTTGTGGAACTTGGTGGACTCCATTCTAGAAAAAGTGGTTGGTTTTGTTTAATTTGCTTAGATGGGTCTCACTCGCTCAAAAGGGACTGAGAATTTGTCAGGAGCATGCATCTGACATGGGTTATTAGAGAAACTCGCGGTTTCTAGGATTGGAAGCATGGAAACGGAGTGGAGGAAGTGATTCTTGTACTGTTATTTATAGTACAGTGCATCTGCTTTCGAAATGTGGCAACTCAGAATGCTTCTGCTTCTGCTTCTCTTCTTTGCTTCTTTTTCGGATTGGCTGCTCTTCCTCTAATTTATAGAATCCAGTCTAAAGTACATGCAAAAGTATAAATAAAAAAAAATATAAAAAAAAAAAGATGTTCAATAAAATAAAAGAAAATATAGACTGAATCTGTTCCTTTAACTTTTTTCTTTGGAATTCCATTTTATGCTTTCTTTTTTCTACTTTTTCTCTGTGCATTAACTAGAATATTAGTGGGATGTATAAGCATTGATTGAGCTTATTAGATGAATCAGGGTTTAGTTCAAAACAGAACAGGTTGATCCTTTTTATGGTAGTTTAATTCCCTCCTTTGAAGAAGACATGCATGGGGTGGTTAATGCAGTGAAATCAATAAATTATATTAAACTATAAAAGGTTCATAACAAATTTTTTCGAGAAAATACTGTGTCACAGTGGATTTGGCTTTAGAAGTAAAGGGGAAGAATATACATATATTTATAATAAAATATGTAAGTTAATTTTCTAATTAATAATTAAAACTTTTCATTCTATTTTTTTTAAAATAATAATATATAATATTTTAAAAATATACAATAAAATAATCATATCAGATTCATAGTACATATGGATTTTTAAAAAAATTGTTCATGCCACTAATATATACTCCATTAAAAATGATTATGTTCGTGTGAGATGCATGCATAATATAATAATTAATCAAATTTAACTGATTAATTATCTTTATGACAAATTCACTAAATAAGAATTGAACAAACTGATATAAGTAAAATAGTTCAAATGAGAGAGTTTTCTATACACACACATATATATATATATATATATATATATATATATATA